CACCAGAGCCAATGCTCTATCCAGTACTCTGTTCCCTATTTACACTTAATGCATCTGCATATAGTAGTAACCTGAATCAATGGGTTTTATTTCTGGCTTTTTTTCTTGGATATTGCTTCCCGTGAATTATTGGTCCTATTTTCTGGATTCCATGTCATTACCTGCTATTGTTTATGGAAATAAACTGTTCAGATCTATGCGTAAAGCATTCTGCCTCTATCTTTGTCTACCTTGCCCAAGATCTCCTTATACTTTCCTTTGCTTCCCTACAGGCTTTGTTCTTTGGATCCTTGTTAAGTTATTGTGAGATCTTTCACAAACTTTCAGTTGAATTCACCCAACATTTACTGATCATCCCCTGCTTCTCATTCAAACAGATTTTTTTTTTATTTTTGCTTTTTGGTGAGGTGATCAGTGTTAAGTGACTTGCCCAGGGTCACACAGCTAGTAAGTGTCAAGTGTCTGAGGCCACATTTGAACTCTGGTCCTCCTGACTCCAAGGCCAGAGCTCTATCCACTGTGCCACCTAGCTACCCCTTCAAACAGATTTAAAATAAATATCTGGGTAATACTTTTGCCACAATACATTAAGAGGCCAATAATAGACATTAAATTGCTTTAAACAAAAACAAGTATATATTATGAATTTTTTTCCTCAACATTTAATGAATAAAGTATTCATTATATGGTTAGTTACTTTTAGTATGTCAGTTACATTATTCTAAAAATTCAATAAACTATATTTCAGATCACTCAATTACACAGTTGTGTAATTGACCCACACAATTAAGCCCACACAAATTTATGATGCACTCAATCCAACTCAGCAACCATAGTTGAGTGTTTTCGATGTGCCCAATGTTACATTATATACAGGATAGAAACCAGGAAAAAAACAAAGGCCCCTGCTCTGAGGTAGCTTACACTACACTACATTGTTTCAAAATGTATCTAGATGTACTTTCCTCCAAAAGGTCTTCCCTGATCCTCCCCAATTGTGCTATTTCCTAGATTCTTATACTGTATTATTATTATTATACTTATTTGTGTATATCCCCACCTCCCAAGTGATATATAAGCTCGAGAGTAGTGTTTCTTTAGTCTGTTCATCCTCAGTTCCAATCACAGTGCCTTGCTCACATAGTAGGTGCATAATAAATATCTGCCATTAAAGTGAATCTTCATTCTCTTCCATTTATTCATAGTTTGTGAAAGACAATTTTTGCTTTTCAATAAAGGATTTCTTATAATGAAATCATCTAAAGGACATTTTATTTCTAAAAGGCCCTAAAAAGCTATTGTTGTTAAAAAATGTATTATCATATCAATAGTCTCTAATGAATCCAGGTGTCTGAGTACTACAGATTCATTGGTAAGAATCTTTTTTTAAACCAACTCAGCAGTGAATAGATCTCGAATAATTTACCCTTCCTGAAACTTATCAGACTATTAGGGAGGCTTGATTACAAAATGGAACTGTGTCAAAGTCAACTCTTTTTTAGCAATTGAACAAAGACCCTAGTACCACCTATTAGGCACAATGGCAAGAAAATAATCTAAAGATAGTGCTCATTTCATTTGTAAATGCTTATCAAATAACTGTCATTGCACATTTCCTTTTCCAAAAATATCAATGTCACTATTTTGTTCAGGACTATAAGGATTACTTAAATTTATATTCTGCTTTACAGTTTGCTAAATTTTTTCATTTAAAGTATCTCATCTGTGTTAAACTGAGCAAGTATTAAGATCCCCAATACATAGATGAGGAAACTGAGGCTCAGGTACTTGCTAAAGTTGCATGGTTAAGGATTCAGGGCTACATAAAAGTGTTTCTCTAGGTTTCCAAATTTTGTTGTTGTGTTGTTTCAGTCATGTCCAACTCTTTGTGACCCCATTTTGGAGTTTTCTTGGCAAAGATCTTGGAATGGTTTGCCATTTCCTTATCCAGCCTTTTTTAATACATGAGGAACTAAGGTAAACAGGGTTAAATGACTTGCCCAAGGTCATACAGCTAGTGTCTGAGGACAGATCTGAATTTATGAAGAGCCCAGTGCACTCACTCTCCACTGTATCACTTAGGTGCCAAAGGTTTCAGAAATGCCATTATTTTATACATTTTTCTATCTCAGTGTTAAAAACTTGAGAGGCTATGAGAGTTCTAATTTTTAATTTGGTTCATTAATTAATTACCATCTGATTGGTTCAATTCTTTGAAAAGAAGACTGTTATCTTAGGACACAAACACATAGTTGGAAAACAAAGGAAGACTTTCTTGGATACTCAATGTACTCTGATTAAACATTGAATCCCATTGGATAGTTTTTTTTAATAATTTCTTTTAAAATGAATTTTTAATTTCCTGCTTTTACATAACATTTATTTCCTAATACATCCTGCTCCCACCCAGAGTCATCTCTTTTTAACAGAGAATAAAAATAAAATGAGAAAAAAAAGTTCAGCAAAAGTAATCAACACATCAAATATGTTCAACAGCGTATGCAGTATTCCACAATTCCTCAGGGCTGTTTATTGATTATAATTACACTTCATTAACATTTTTTTAATTTTTCCCATTTTCATTGCTGTGGTCATTGTGTAATTCCCCCCCCCAAGTCTTCCTTCATTTTGTTATCAATTCATATGTCATAAGTGTTTATAGCACATTTAAATAGGGTATACCTCTAGGAAAATCTATTTAAAGGTGAACATTTACTGAATATATGGTCCCTTCCGTTAGTTTTATTCATTAAATTAAGAAAACCAAATCATTTGATTTTTAAAATTTGGCAACTAATCTTTATTTTTAAAATGCAAACTTATTTTCAGACATCTAGCACACTCTGTATAGATTAAGATTTATGCCTTCCAATATTATAAAAGGCATAGCTCAATACAGTGAAGTTTAATAATTTCTAAATGATACATAAAACAGTTCTGAGGGATGCTCTAACATTAAGTTCCCAATACAGTGCTTGATCTGTTGTAACCAATTTATCATGACTTTTTCCCCAAAAGCATATGAAAAATTATGTTAAAATTAAATAGAATCCCTACTCCATGAAGTTCTCATTGAGAATTAACATTAATCAAAATTTTGCATAGGGTTTTTCAAATGTAAGAATCTAATCGAAGGGGGAAAGAATCCCACTAAAAATTCTTTCAGAAATCACTTTATCTCCTTGCTATTAACTCAAACTAGTTGGTGTTTCCTAAATAGCTAAAGTTGATGATTAGAAAATATACGGTAATGCCTTGACAAATAAAGGCAATGTTTAGAGGGAAGAAACATGCATACTATGAAAGCCCACAATTTGGAAATCTTTGGACCTAAAAGCAAGCAGTTAATTACTAACAAACTAGCACTTATAGCCTTCACAGTGACTGCACAATTAGCACTTAATATTGTGACTAGGGAATGAACTATCTACAATCTATTGAAAAGACCATCTGCTTCTATAAATTGTATTTCTTTATTCTTGCCAGGAGTGAGACCGTATTTTTTAAATGGCACTACCCTTTTAATTGCTAGGTTGTTTGCAGTTGTGTTTTGCTATTAGGATTTAATAAGCCATTGTTTCAGTGGCATAAAAAATGTAGCTAAGATTATGTAATGGTTATTTTAGGCTATTTTCACTTACAAATCCCATTTCCTTTCACATTGAAATCTGTAATTTAATATAACTACAAATACATCTACACAAAAGGCGTTTATTCTTAAGGTAACAGGCCAATATGTCATAAGTATTACTAATGGTTCTTATATTTGAAGGCAGATAACTCAGAAACATTATGTGATATCTTTTGCTGAAAGAGGAATCTATCCTGACTACTGGGGATAAAAAGGCAAATGCAGATAGGCAAACCAGTCCTCTGGTTAACAGAACGTACTTGGAGAAGGCAGAATGGTTACTAAGGGTGAGGAATAAAGGGATAGTTCCCACCACCAAACTGGTCATCAACCAAAGGAAATACGGAAAGGAAACTTCCTCAACTACAAGCAGATTTATAGACTACTAGACCGAATTGGGAATTCAGCTGATCCCCTCATTACAGGAAAGAGAAAACGGAGGCCCCAAGAGGCTGAGATTTACCCAGGGGCACACAACGGCGCTCTTGTTCCTGCTCAGTACTTAGCTCCTGTTACTTTTCTTACATTCTAACGGCCACATGAACATCCTAGAGAGGGTGATTTCTCCCCACCCTCAACCCAGAATAACAGTTGCTTGTATTAAGAACCATAAAGCAATGACTAGCATAAAAGACAGATATCGAATGTAAATGTGTAATTTGAGTGTCGATGCCAAACATAAAGCTGTTTCTAAAGTGGAAACAATAATTTCCAACCTCTTGCTTCCCATTCTCGGGGACAGCCCTCCCCATCCCCCTGCCCATGCGTCTTTCTCATTTCGGTCCCGTTTCCTCCCCGCCCCCCCACGCCCCTTGATTTTCCAATCCCCCTGCGCACTTTTCAGATAAACGCAGTGGAGCTCCTGAGCCCCACCCCACTCGCCTCCTTACAAGCCCAGTAATGTCGCTGGGACAAGACTGCACAAGAGCTACTGCTCTTAGTTGTCACACTGGAACCTGAACAAGTTTCTAAGTGCTTGATTCCTTCGCAGAACGCCTGATTATCATATCAACTTCCTCTTTTTTGCACCCTCCCCCCATGATCAGCTTGCTTTGGTCAACCCTAATTTAAAGAAAGCATATAGATATGCAAGTGGTTCCATTGCACCTCCCACCCCGTACAGTTTTGATTCTGGGGTGCATCTCTAGCTCTAAAGACCATTACTGGACCACTTTTTTCCCTTCCCCACCTCCCGGCTTGGAGCATGGCTTCCCCCCCCCACCCCTGTTCCCCCCTCTTCATCCCCCCCCCCCGCCCCTCCACCAGGAAAGGAAACAAACAAGACAGCGCGCGGCTCCAGGCGAAGCCCGGGACTGGAGGAAGGGGAGCACAAGCCCGCCTCCGCGTGGCCGCAGACTGCGCTACTGCGCAGGCTCTGCAGCAGCGGGGTTCTGAACCTGAGCAGCAGGCTGCCTCATCTCTTCCCAGTCAGTGCCCGTACAAGTAACTGTACAGCACTCAGCCTACTCTGCGTTATGGTACTACTGGGGCGGGGGGGGAGGAGCAGCAGAAGGGCGGGGAGAAGAGGGGAGACAGAAGGGAGGGGCAGGGGAGAAGAGGAGGGAAGGGAAAGTGCACGCACATGCGCCGCCGGCCGGTTAGGAAGTGAGAGGGGCTGGGGAGGGGGAGGGTTGCTGGGGGAGGCTCCGTCAACGAAGCCGTTTCCGGGTCACGTGCGCCCGTTTCCGGCGCCGAACGGTGGAGTGGCGCAGCCCGCCCGTTTTGTAGCGGGGGGGGCGGGGGGAGGTGGGGGGGAGATCTGGGAGCCGGTTTCCGCGTTCAGCTTACCCCGCCCCCTCCCTCCAGCCCCCGCCCCGGATTCCCGGGCTCCTCCCTCGGCCGGCCCCCGGGGCGGGGCCTCCCCCGCCCGGCTCCCCCTCTCCCTCGCTCCCCACGCCCCGCCTGCTTGGCTCCCAGACGCTCGGAGGGGGCTTTTCACTTGGCGGCTGCTGCGGGCTCCGGGAGCGGCGGGCGGGCGGCGACGGCGCTTCCCTCCTGTCTGTGGCCACAGTAAGTGTGTGCGCGGGGTGGGGGGGGTAACTCCTCGCGGGAGGGGCTGTCACTTGAAGGGGGAAGTGTGGGCCCCCCCGCGCCCTCCTCCTTTCCACCCCCCATCGTAACATTCTCTCCACTCGCGCGCGCGCGTGGGTCTCGAGCAGAGACTTCCCCGAGTGTCTTCTCCCCTCCCTGTGGACCGCGCCCCTGAGGTGACCCACGGGGTGGGGACGCGCACCCCCTCAAGTCTTCACCCCCCCGCTTTCATCCCGGAGAAGAGATGGGGAGCGGAGGCATGACTTAATCCCGTTCCCTGTGGGGGGGTTGTTGTGTTGGGGTTGCCTCGGGCACTCTTGCCTGGGGAGCAAGCGGAGTCGCTCCCCTTAACTCGGGGTGCCCTCCCGGCGCCCCCACCCCGGCATGCAGGGATTCCCCTCTGTTCGCTCGCCCTCTCCCGGCGGGCAGGCAGGTGACGGATTGTCTCCAGCCGAAATGGACTTTTCCTGCCCAGGGATGGAGAGTCTGGGGGACCAGGGTTTGTCCTGGGCAGAGGTCCGCGCCGGGGGAACGGAGCGCGGCCGCCGGGGCCATTGTCTCTAACGTTCCCCTTTCTCCCTCCCTTCCTGGATATCCTGGAGCATCGTTTTTTGACTAAAGGAAGAATAGGAAAACAACTATGACTCCAAGAGCATTTTTGTCATCATTAATCTTCCAGGCAACACTGTCCGCCCCCCTTAAAAAAAAAATCTCCCATCTCCCTTTTGCTCTATTTACTTAAGATCACAGTCAAAGGGGTTGATTTCACCAGGGCTTGAGGTGTAATGTTTTCTGGGCAGGTATAGTCCCAGTTTGTCAGGTAACTTGTTTTATGGGAGGATAAGTGGTTTATTTAATGTGTTAAGTAGTTGTTCTGGCGAAGGACTCCCCTCCCTCCCTCCAGTTGATAGTCTATACTTTCCATCTCAATTCTGCGAGATCTAGGGAAATGGAATCCATTCTCTTCCAAGTTCTGCAGGCGCTTTGAGATTTGAAAGGGTCCTTTCGTTTCCTTTTGCGAAAATTGCAGTATGCGTTTGTGAGGAGCTTTGAGAACCATGGAAAGGTATACAGCATTTATTTTATTAGCCCAATATTTGACCCACAGGAAGCGTTAATAAATATATTGCAGTTTGTGAGGAGCTTTGAGAGGCTTGGAAAGGTATTTATATTAGCCTAGTGTTTGACCCATAGTAAGCGTTTAATAAATACATTGCAGTACTTGTTTGTGAGGAGTTTTGAGATCCGTGGAAAAGTATTAATATTATTAGCCCAGTAACTGACTCATAGTAAGCGTTTAATAAGTGCTTATAGGCTGGGACTATGTGTTTTGTTAAATGAGATAGAATTGGCTTAGGTCTTTAATTGGTCGAATAAGATTAGCCCAGTCAAAAATGTAAGATATCTTTATTTGTAATTTTGAAAATTATTTTTTACAGAATTGAGATAGGGCCTATTTCATACCAAAAATGTATTTTAAAAAGTCAACATTATGAATGTTAGAAAAAATCCAGCATTGCAATTGTACCTGAAATGTTAACATTACCAAAAAAAAGCAGATGATATATTGAAAGATTACATATGAAATATATTTTCATATATTCGGTATTTCCTTATTTGTAGTTTAAAAGTCAAGTTTAATTAAAATAAGCTTTCCTGAAGTAATACATTTTTGAACTGTCAAAATTTTATTTGCCGACCTTAACTAAGCACACCAATATCAAATACTTTAAAAGATAGCATTTGTATATATGTAACTTTAATAATATAGCCATGCCCCAGCTTGGTACAGTATCTGTTGTTTTGAATTTTTATAAAATGAATTTGAGAGCAGAAATTCGATTTGAAAGTATAGTTGGTCCATCATATATTTATTTCTGTTAAAAGATACCAACTGAAATGTTAATTTGTCTTGAAAAGTGCCTTCCAGTTGGGACAAATAAGTTATGAGAAGAGAAAACCAGCGTGTTTTACAACTACATCAGATGTTACTAAAACAGGTTATTCTTTGCCTTTTTAAAGCATATTAAAGGTGACAGTTTCCTGCTCTAACCATGTAATTTTTTATTTTCAACTACATTTCTGAGTTTGTGTCAGAGTAGTGTGTGTGTGTGTGTGTGTGTGTGACAGTTCTGTGAATGATTTATTTTTTAATTTAGTGTAGATATTATGGTAATCATCTATCAATTTACTTTCTCTATGCTCTGTTATAATGGAGCTTGTTGAAAACTACATTTAAAAAATGTAGCTTTATCTCAGTGTGTAGAACCAAAGACCTGAAAATAAAATTTGTTTTGTTTATTTTAACAGATGCAGTTTATGTTGCTTTTTAGTCGTCAGGGAAAGCTCCGACTCCAGAAATGGTATGTCCCGCTATCAGACAAAGAAAAGAAAAAAATCACAAGAGAACTTGTTCAAACAGTTTTAGCCCGTAAACCCAAAATGTGCAGCTTTTTGGAGTGGCGAGATCTGAAGATTGTCTACAAAAGGTATAATTTTAATTTATCAGAGAATTATAGAAGCAGACCAAGTTTTAGTTCATAATGGTAGTCAAATAGGAATGAAAATGAACTAATTTTGAGAGTTGACTCATTTGGACAGGTATACAATGAGGAAGATTAAAGTAAATTTAAAGTAATGAAACCTTAGATAAAGTAAATTATAATCTCCCTCCTTTGATGACACAGAATTGAAATGACAAAAATCAGGAAATACTTCTAATAGATGAGTCTTTCGAAGTTTAAAAATAACTTTAATGATGTGTATACTCTCATTTATAAATTTATTAATTTTTCACACATATTAACTTTTAGAAAAAGTAAATAATTATAACACATTTAAATAGCATTTTAAGAGTTGCAAAGCACTTTTCCTCAACAATCCTCTACAGTAGGTAGTACAACTATTACCTACATTTTATTGAGGTTTTTGAAAAGACATACCTTGCTCATGATGACATAGCTATTAAATCTCTGAAATGGAATTTGAACCCAGGTCTACTGACACTATGTAGTCTAGGCATTTTAAAAAATGTCATCTGGTTAGCAAAATTTGTATAATAATTTTCACTGAAAGTAACTTATTTGTAGAGTCAGCAGGTTCTCCTAGACATAAGTAAAATACTGAGCATCAAATGTGAACTCCTGTTTGTGTTTAAAGCCTTTCAAAATCTGCCTGTAATTTACTTTTCCAGGCTTATTATGCATATTCTCCCTTCATGTACTCTTAGATAGGTCTAGTCAAACTGGCCTTGCTTTTGCTCACATATAGTATTCCAACACCTGCTTCCATGCCTGTCTCTCCCAGCCCCCCAAAATACCTGAGATTCTCACTTTTCTCACTTCTGCCTCTTGAAATTGTGCCTTTCCTGATCCCTGCCTGGTTGCTCATGTTTCCCTCCTTGTCGTCTGAGGGAAAAAAGAATCTTTTATGTATTTTATCAATACTTAGACATACATGTTGTCTCCCCCATAGAATGTAAACTCATTGAGGGCAAGAACTTTTTTGGCATTATAGTTATAGTGCTTGGCATAAAAGCAAGCTGATCAGTTGAAACTGATTTTTGTCGCACATCTTATATCTAAACCTTTTTAGTCATATTGATGTTTAAAACTCTTGTTTATTTAAAACAAATAACAAAGTGCACATTTTACTGTATCAAAAATGTGGCAAGTTATGAAGTAGTTTCATCATACGAAGATGTTAAAGTTTGATCTCTGAAATAACAGCTAAAAATTACTTCTTATAACAAGACGAGAAACAGAGTGTAACAGTAACATTTTCTCCTGTGGAAAGTATGGTAGTCTTATTTAATTATATTGAAATGAAAGTAATATTTCTTATACTGTGAAATAAAGTATTTTTTAATCTGTAGACTTTGTTTGATTTGGGACATTGACTTTTCTTCACCCTGATCTTTTCCTTTAATGATTTCATTGTTATATAGCACAAATAACTTACTGAGCAAGAGAAAAGGGAAATATTTCAGTATCAGACAAACATTTTGTAATATGAAAAAAAAACTGATAATATAAAGTTGTGAAGTCAGAAAGGGAAGAAAAGGTCAATTTTCTTCATTCCTTCTCTATTTTTTAAGCATTTAAGACTGTAACAAGGGGAGGAAAGGAAAACCGTATTCATGTTATTTTGTAAAAATTGGATTGGATTTAATTATCAGTTTTGTCCTTTTGTAAGTAGCATAATTTTAATGTTTCTTAAGAAAGAATAGAACTTGGAAATGGAAGGGACCCTAGAAATCATCCAATCCATTCCTTCTTCCTCTCAACCCAGTGTACAGATGAGGAGATTGACGCCCCTACAAGCTGTTTCTTTTTTTGTCTTTGTATCCCCAGGCCAAGATTACTATACTGTCTTAATAAATGTTTGTAGAATTACATTGTTGAGATTTGCCCAAGTTATAAAGAGCTCAGGTCTCTTTAATGCCAATCTAATGCCCTTTCCAAATAGTTTGGTCTTATTAATTACAATATTATTGAGGGTTAGAGAGAGAGCACCCAATTGAATGTGTAGCCTGTGGCATGAAAATTCATTCAATCCTTCATATTCGCCAGATAGCCAGTGTATTGTTTCTACCAGAAGTTTATGAAACTTGAATAGACTAATAGTTGGATATGGGATAATATAATATATATTCCATGAATCTAAAAAGCAAAATATTAATAAGTTGAAGAACTAAATAATGATAGATGGAAGGACAAAAGAACTGAATTCAGTTCGATTTATTGCTGGACTGACTGTGTGATTGGGCAAACTTCTTTAATCCTATATTTTAGTTTCAAATTCACTGGCCAAAAATCTTATTCATTCATCTTCCTCTCCCCTTCTCTTCTATCCTTCCCCCCTCCCCTGCCTTCCCATTACCTGATTCTAATAATGGTGCAGCAATTCAAGCAACTCTTGAATTGGAATGCAATAGAAACAACTTCTCATTCACCTCATATCCAACCTTGTTTTCTCTGTCACCACCCTAGTTTAGGCATCCTGTACCATTCACCTGCACCAGTTGTAATATTCCTGTGTCTTCCTATCCTACACCCAACCTCTATCTAGTCATTGTTTACTGTAGCTCAGCTGAAATAAGACTTTAAATCAAAATAATGCACTCCTAGGAAGGTATGAACTATCATATATGCAGAGATCAGAATTACTCTTATCAAGTAATCTCTCTTAGCTGTTCTCTAAATCTTGTTTCTTTTGCTTTATATCAGTATTCTTCATCCCGAAATTTCCTCATGGTCAAACATTTTTAAGGAAATTTAGTTGGTATTGTGGCATTATGGAAATATCACTGGATTGAAGTCAGGTCAAATTTAAATTCAAGTTATGTGTCTCCAGATTATTTTATCTTGAGAATTGGCTAAGACATATTGTTGTTTTGATTTTCTTCAGTAGCAGAGATTAATGAAATACCAGTGGGTATTGAGAAGAGTTTAGCTGCACTCACCAATAGTCAGCTGATATTTAGCTGACTGTGGAGAAGTCATGTGTTTTGAATATAAGAATAGGCACTTTCAAATGTACTTAGTGCCAGTAATTAGAGTAAGCCTTAATCCACAGTGCTAAAAATATTCAACAATACCTTTTTTCCTTACTTATCTTTTGTGGATTTTATTTCAGGTTTAGATTAATAAATATATTCACTAAATGAATAAAATGAACTCAATTTAATTTTTTAAAAGGCATTAAGGACTGATAACAATTGTTCTTTTTGAGTTTATCTTAATTTCTTCTCCCTAAATCAGTGTCCATTTTTGTGTTTTTCTTTCATTACACTTTTTCATGTCATTTTGAATGTATTTTGTCTTGTATCCCCAATATCTAGCAGAGAGCCTGGTACATAGTATTTGCTTTTAGTAAATGCTTGTTGATCAGTGTTTTAATTTTTGATGTGTTGAACAAACATTTTTCTCGTCTCCCTTCCTGCCTTGGGATATCCTGAAATTCTGTAGATTCTCATGACCCTACACATTCAGAAGTATATTTATTATTATATCAGTTCTATGACTTTTAGTAATTTTAAAAAGACAGCATCTATGTAGTAGTATGAAATTGCTGTGTTGGTAACCTGTGACTTTTTCCATAGTGCTTTCTCACAACCACCCTGGGAGAGAAGTGGTACAATTGTTTTCATCAAACTGACAAAAACACTGAGGCTTACAGAAATTGAGACTTAACTTAAGCATACGTATCTGGTAGAGGCTAGACTGGCATCTAGATCTTCTTGGGTATTTAGGCACGTGGCTTTTTACATATTTCTAAAATGTTTTGTCACAGTCCATTAATCATTATTCACATTTACAAAAAGCTCCTTCACATTATAAATTGTTTTCCTCACAACAGTCCCTTAACATAGATTTCCTTTTATATGGATGAGGAATTGAGTTTAGAGAGGGTAAGTGACTTTTCCATAGTCAATGACATGGCACATGTTGGGAGTCAGGACTGAAACTCGGTTCTTCTGATTGCAAGTCAAGTGTATGCTTTAATATACCATTGTGTTTCTTGGCAAAAGAATTACATAATTTTAGCTGAGAAAATTAGTCTCCTAGTATTACTTAACTTATATTGGAATAAAAACCACGCTTATTTTTCCCCTCAAATCTGGTCATTCTGGCACATATTTCTATCGGTTGCACCTACTCTTTTATTTTTCATATCTTACTGTTAACTTTATCTCTTCTCTTTCCTTCACTTCCCACATTCAGTTAGTTATCAAATCTTTCTTTCTTTCTTTTTTTTTTTTTTAGGCAATTGGGGTTAAGTGACTTGCCCAGGGTCACACAGCTAGTGAGTGTCAAATGTTTGGTCTGAGGCCGGATTTGAACTTGGGTCCTCCTGACTTCAGGGCCAGTGCTCTATCCACTGCGACACCTTGCTGCCCCTAGTTATCAAATCTTATAAGTTCTACCTTTACAATATATATTTTGTTATGGAAATAGCATTAAAAAAGATACCCATTTGCTTTGCTGCTGCACCTTAAGGACCATAGGACCTTTTCATCTAATTTTATATATTGTCTCCATATTAGAATGTGAACTCCTTGAGAGCAGGATCTGTCTTGCTTTAATGTTTGTATCCCTGGTGCTTAGCATAGTGCTTTACACATAGTGAGTAATAAATGCTTTTTCATTCAATAATTAACTGCCACTGACCAAGTTTGGACCCTCATTTCTACTAGCCTTAAGCAATAACCTCCTAACTAGTCTTTCCTTTTCTTTTCTGGCAGCATTGTGAGGAATGGTGGAGTTTGGGAGGGAGAAAGTGAGAGTCATCTATATGCATAAATTTAGTCATATCACTCTTCCCCAAACCATTTCAGTGGCTCCCTGTTGTCTGCCTAATAAAATCCAGACTCCTTATCCTCGTATTCATAGCCTGCTCCTACTTTTCTTTCTAGTCTTCTGATTATTGCCTATCTGTCCAGCTAGAAATAGACTACTTGATTTCCTCCATACACATCTCACACCTC